TGGTTTTGAATTTAGAAATGTAAGTCCAATTTAATACCTAACTTCTACCCTCAGGAGAATTCAGACTTGCCAGAGGAATTCACCTCTGAATAAATAGAGAGAGCTCTAACTTAAGTGGGGAGAAGGGGACTCTAGAAAATTTAAAACGAGGGAAAGAGAAGTGAACGAAAACCAACCTGGCTGGACTCTGCCTGTGTCTAAAGCTCACTTTGTGGGATGCGCATTCCCTGCTTTCATCCAGAGCTGCTTCACGAGCCGACCTTCTCGCCCTTTTCCTAGGAGGACCTTCGAGAACGCGAGGTTGACCCTGAACTCATGGAGCCTGTGACCCGTTCTGAGAAAGTCTACGAGACCCCTGCTGCCACAGGAAGTGTAAATGGGACAAACGGCCGTCTGAGACCGTGGCAGTGATCATTTACAAGACAATCATCCAGAAGATTCAGAAAATGCTTACGGTGTTTGTTTTCAACAGATGACCATCAAAACAAAACCAAATTTTATATGGTCTCACAGAACTCTGAGACCCACCTCTGTAAAGGGACAGCATGCCCTTGTTTCCAGAAAACATCATTCCCGGTATCACGCACCAGTGAATGAACTGGACCGCCCGAAACTTGCGGGCTTCCTGACTGCAATGTAGCCACCCACGTACTACACCCCCTAAAGTTTTAAGTGAAATCAAAGATGCCACTGATGATAAGGTATACCATTATTATACACACAAATAGGGAAGAAAAATGTTAACTAGAAACTGTGGATTTTAGAGATGTTCAAACGCGAAAACCAAAACAAAAAGCCCCTCCCACGTGCGGGTGCTGGGGACACGCCACCCACAGCGCTGGCTTCCGCCCTGGCTTCCGCCCTGAGGCTGGATGGCTGCCTGCTCCTGGGAGCTGAGGGGCCCTTGGCCAAGCACGTGGCCTCGCTGAGCCTCAGTGTACGGGTCTGATGTCAAGGGTGCCTACTTCTCGCCACATTGCTGAGAGAATTAAACATGATTCTGTCTTAGTATTTAACACGTGCCTAACACTTATTAGCTGTCTTATTCCTGCTGTTACTAAAAATCTGGCGAGAGCAAAGTCATGAATTTAACCAACATTAAACGGTTTCTTTAATGCACGTAAGTTCACCCTGTCTCAGTTGCCAAACCTTTGTATGTTGCCTCCTTAGTGCCACAGCTCTAGAAATAAAACGAAATAATTTAAAATGGAGTCAAAGCGTCTTCTTAAACTGAAGAATCAGCCAGAGCCCCAAGGAATGGGTGACTCAAGCACAATGGGTAAGCGTTTGCATATTGTTTGCATGACATTTGCATGCTACCAGTTCATTTTTACTTCAAGTGAAAATCCGCCCACCATCTGGTTCTTTCCTAGTCCCTTATGATCCCCTAGGTGTTGAGCTGGCTGCCTTGGCCTGGGAAAAGATAAAGCAATTGCCGTGCATTAAGTAGTCACCGCCTGTGCCTCCAAGGGCTGGTTACCAGGCTGAGGAGGGAAGGGTGAGCCGGCAGCAGGCCGTGGGCGTGAGCATCCTACGGGGAGGGTGGCCACATGAGCCACAAAGAGCACGAGCCTTCGTCTGGACGCAGCCCCCAGCGCAAACGCACCTAATGGGAACCACAGGATTCACGGTGAAGCGGCTTGGAAAACCGCTGCTGGCCACCAGGAGCTTCCATTTCAAACCAGTGCACAGCTTCTCTTTTCCCGAGTGCGAGTAATTGTGAGGCAGTGAGCATACCACGAAGATCTGCTTTTGCTTTCAAAACTGTCAAGATTTAAAGTAAACACAAGGCAGCCAATATCTGGCAATAAAGAACAAAAATTAGCACTTAATTAATTAGGGCCCTGTTGCTAGAATCCTCTGTCAGCCCTGATCATTTGTTTAAACCGAGCCCCTGATTCGTGACTGCACAAGTGGTAATGGACGGCACTGGCCTAGGTCCGATCCAAGTTCACTGAATCACTGTTTCTTGGGAACAACTGAGTATTTTTGTAAACTCCAATACCTATAATGATTATTACTATGTAAACTAGGCAATGATCCTACGTCAGATGACGCGAAGTGTCTATTATTCATATAAGAACTGAAAATAGCAACTTGCTGAGTAAGTGTCCTCCCAGTCACCCTCTGGATGGTGCACACAAACAGCAGCTCACATTTCTCTTAGGTCTCTGTGTGACACGTGACCCTACGTGAACGGCAAACCCAACCGATCAACCAAAAAACCCAACTTCACATCCGGAGACTGGGCCAGGATACCATAAATGGAATTAGGCTTATTAGGTCTTAGAGATGCTATTTTGTCATAGGATAATTTTTTTCTTCCAGTGCTTCACAGCTTTAATAAGGATAAAAGGCTTTTTAAATTATCGGAAAGCACACGTAAAACCTTATGCTTTTATGGACACTCAGAAACACGGGAGCCTCAGTTATACCAAAATTCCAAAAAGTGACGCCACGGCAGTTAAACCACCAGAGGAACACCCTTTGCATCACCACTTTACTTTCTAAAAGTGCCACTCTTCACCGGATAATGGTTAGCATGCCAGAAACTTTAGAAATTACTTAGTTCAATGCCTACCACCATTTTTACAGATGAGGACATTGAGAGCTGGCCTAGAAATGGGCACTTATAAAAGAAAAAGCTAGAATTTAGACAAGTACTTGGGGCTGGCTGGTGCCGGACAGGGGACTGGAACTTCCGAGAAGTAGGATCGGAAGACCTGGCTGGGTGGGTGGTCTTGCTAATAAGGAGCCTGGAGTTTGGAAGAAAACCACGTTCTAAAACGAGAAAAAGGCACTGGGGAGAAATTGCGCCTATAAAAAGAACAGCCAAACATAAGGATATTCTGGGACAGGAGTTGTGTTGCCTCCTGAGTCCAAGGTCACCTGGGGTGAGAGGGATGGGCGGTCCCCAGGAAACAAGGCCCCCGGGCACCACGCTAGCGCCTGGGACGTACGTCTGGGAGAGCGGACTCATTTCCCAGGACACAGAACTGGACATAGAGACAAAACGTGCGCATGAGCACGGCAGCTCAGCCACCAACTCAGTCGCACTCAGACCAGAGGGGCGTCATCTTTTCCTGCTCGTCTGTCTCCCAAAAAGCTCCAGACCCAGAACAGAACAAGAGGCCCAGAAGCTGGCTCCTGAATGTGTGTCTGAAAAGGCCCCTGAAGACCGAGAGCTCCCCCTTTTCGGAAGCTCAAACACTGGGGTGGCGAAGAAGAAAAGCAGCAGCCCCCACCCGGAGGTGCAGCCCTGGCCTGTGCCTGTGCCCTGGCTGGCTGACCCCCACAGCCCGCGTTCCCTGGGCTGCCGGTCACCTGGCTTCCAGCTGTGCTCCTCCAGTGGGAAGCTCTGGCGAGAGAGAGGGGCGCAGGAAGAGAGGGAAGTCTGTATTTCTTCCCACGCTCTCCGCAGCCCTGCCCAGGCCCCAGTCCCCTGGCTCCGCTGCAGTGTTTTTTGTAGCATTTGCTCCGGGTCCCTGCAGGCCTCGGGTGGTAAACGCCTTCTTGGGCCTCGCCACCCCTGGTTGGATCCTTTTCATTTCTCCCCTCAGTTGACCCTGACTCTAAGTTGGAGTCTGTCTTTTGCCAGGACCCTGAAGAGACTCTGGGGAAAGGAAGCCATGGGATAAACATGCTGTCTCATACAAAATTTTACACAGAAACTGAGATATCTTACGGAGTACAATAGAAACCCACATAAACTTTAAAGATAAGCAGACCTCCAAAAGCATCAACCTTCAAACCCCAAATACTGCTGCCTCGGGTGTTCATGCTCTTTGGCCTGAAGAGCTTTAGTGGCAAGACGGGGAAAGGATGCCCTGCTGGGGGAACGGACCTCCCTCAGACTCTCCCTGCTTTGTAAGTGGAAGCCAAGTCACGAGCACCACAGATACGAGGTGGACGGCCTAGCGTGCAGTGGGCTACGCCACCTGGGTGTGCCCGAGTGCACTCTATGATGTTTGCACAACAACAAAATCACCCAACAACACATTTCTCAGAATGCATGCCTGCTGTGAAGCAACACATGATGGTAAAAAAAGGGTGAACTCCTTGACTGCTCAAGGGAGTCGGTCTTCCAGGTCACAGAGGCAGCAGCCACAACCTGATGGAGACAGGGCCGGGGTGGGGACCGCCTCCTCACACAGGGGTGCTGAGAAGAGGCACGTGACCTGGAGGACAGAGACAGAGAAATGCGAGCATCTTAAGGCCACAGCCCGTGCAGGGAGTGGCTCCTCCTCTGAGGACCTTGTGGTTACAGTCCACTACTTTGCTTTCAGACTAAAGAGTCTTGAGCAAAAGCCTTGCTATAATGCCAACATCATTTGTTACTGAATGGACAGAGAAGAGTGTGATACACATTGGAACATTTTCCACAACATCTGTAATTAAAAAATTCCCAGCACCTAAAGTGAGGAGACATCAGTTATTTAAAATAAAAATAAAACACAAGGTTGATCATATTCCTCATAACGCTGGATAGATAAAGGTTAACCATAATCTCCTGGCCTTGCACTTGAACCCGGAAGAGTGGACAAGGCAGCTTCTAAGGGCATGTGCATAAAAGGACACTCCTGGGCTTCTGGGAGGGACAGTGCAGAGTCACTGAGCTGAAGTGGAACCAGCTGGGGAGCCTTCCACGTCCCCTCCAAACACCCACGTCATTCAAAGCCCTTTCCTCCCTCCTTGTCTCTCTCATGTATGATGCCTCTGCTAAGCTTTTGTTAAAATTCGGGTTCTGGAATCAAAAGCCCTGTGCATATGACTGATTGATATATATACACACACACGCTACTGTGGACAAGAAGATGGCCTTTGCCTTTTAATACCAGCCTAATGATTCTTCTTAAATACATTCTTAGGCAGATGGAGAAGACTTATCTTTATCAACACCTAATTCCAAGTGGAAATATTTTATTTCTAATCATGTACAGAAAGATAAAAATGATCAAAGGCAACAGAAACCAGTAAGAACCAGGGGCGAATTTGCTTACCTGCTGTCCCCAGCATTCGCCACGTACAGCTTCCCCAGGAGGCAGATCACAATGAGGGCTGTGCAGCCCCCAGAGATATTGTAGGAGCTCCTCTCTCGTTCTATTTGTAGGTCCTGGGGAAGAAAACAAAGTTAGTGCTGGGCTGTGCAGGGACACGTGCCGCGGACTTTCTTAGCATTGCTCCCCAGGGGGCTGAAGTGCTTCAAAGAACAGACAAGGAATCCTCAGTACTTGTTTTTCTACCACCTAATGAGCATTTCTGGAGAGGGCCCTGGCATAAAACTGCTGCCTGCCAGACCATCTGCAAACCAGAGACAGGAAACGAGAGATGGCAAACGGATATAATCAGGCAAAAATGAGAAGAATAAAACCAACTGTATCCGCCCTGGCTGGTGTAGCTCAGTGGATTGAGCTTGGGCCTGCGAACCAGACAATCACGGTTCAATTCCCAATCAGGGCACATGCCTGGGTTGCAGGCCGGTTCTCTGCAGGCCAGTTCCCAGCAGGGGACGCACAAAGGGCAACCATACATTGATGTTTCTCTCCCTCTCTCCTTCCCTTCCCCTCTAAAGATAAATAAATAAATTTTTAAAAAAAAAAACTGTATTCAATAAATACCATCGCTTATGGAAAACTTAGTCTCCCATGGACTGCCTGATCTGCCATGCGGAGGCCACCACAGAGGCAGACGATGACAAGTACTCGCACCTGATCCATGTCTGTAACCCCAAAGTCTCCAGTCGAGACTTTCTTTTATGGCTAGAAAAGAGAAGTGACCGGAAGGACAGTGTCCTCTATTCAGTGCAGGCAGGAGGCAGCCTCCTCCGCCCGCAGCTCACAGCAGTGAGGGTGTCCTCGCAGCAGTCCCCTTCACTGAGCTCGCCCCCTGCGTCAGGCAGTGCGCCGGGCACGTTACGTGTAGAACCTCATCTCATCCCCGCGACCGCGTCACTAACCGCACACTGTTCAGGTGCAGGGAAGTGGGGCAGCCTGCCCACGTGTACTTGGCTGGAGTTTGGATTCCAATTCGATTCTCTTCCTCCAAAGCCTATGTTATTACCTGCCACCTAATGAGGCCTCCCCAAGAAAATTAAAAACACACACTTCTATTGACAGATAAGCATCATTCTCAAGACAGTCTTTGTAAAATTCTGTCACCTCAGAACACATGAGTTGAGTTAGGAAAATAAACTAAATGCTAGCCAAAATAATTCCAAACATTCCAGTAGTAATCTCCTGGTGGGGTGGAGAGAGGGGAACATGGGCTGGGTGATAGGCAGAGAGAAGGAACGGTGCTCTGGCCAGTCCTGAGGGCGCCACCAGCAGACCGAGGGCCAGGGCACTGCTGGGATTCTCAGAAACCCACAGACTTGGACCTCAGTGGCTTTGGCCAGCTCCTGATGGAAAGGGAGAGAGAATTTAGTGATCCAGCATTTACCGGCCACTGCTAACTCACCAGTGGGAAGCTGGGAACAGGAGAGCGTGGGCCGAGGCTGGAGGACAGGAACGGCAGACCGGTTAAAGTAGAAGGAGAGACAGGGTACAAAGACAGGCTGGGAGCAGCCACCACACTGGAACGAAGTGGGGGAGGGGAAGGAGTGGGCGGGCCGGGGCGCCCTGGGGAGGGGCCGAGAGTGCGTGTCTGTGGGGTAGGACGGTTTAGAAGCAGGTGGAGAAATATTCCAATACGGCAGTGCGTGAACAACGGCCTCAGAAGCTGCACAAGGCTCCACCATGTCTTCTCACGAGACTTTCCGGATCGAGAGGCTCCTGGCCAAGAAACCAAAGGAGAAGCGGCCCACTGCCCAGTTGATTCCGATGAAAGCTGGTGGTAAAATCAGATACAAATCCAGGAGGAGACCCTGGAGGACAGCCAGGCCGGGTCCCCGAGGAATGGCACCAGAGAGACAGCTCACACACCTACCTGCCCTGCAGCAGGCTGCCTGCATCTCCCCGGAGCACTGACAAGATCCCGCTGTCTGGATCATTGGGTGTTTTTATTGGGAAATTATTGGAAGAGAGATTTTTCTCTTTGACTTTTTTCTGCACTAGCACGTTGGGATCAGTAATAAATACATAAGACCTTCTCTAAAAAAGCTGCATGAGGGTCAAGCATGAAGACTACCCTCAGGAACTATGTTGGACTTTAAAACTTTACTTAAACTGCATAAATCAGCTTCCTTAAAGGACTGGAGGGAAGATGAAATTAGATGGTGTGCAGGAGGTGCTTTCAGGCCACCTAGATCCTGCCTGCAGCCTGGACACCCCCTGATTGAGGGCAGAGACCTGTCTTATTCACTCCCCGCTAGACGCTCAGCACCTGTAGCAGGCCAGGTAAAAGGTCATTTAATAAGTGCCTAGGAAGTGGGCAAATGAAGTCCACACGTTTGAGAACGCCTGGGTTTCAGAATGATCTCTCCACCACCTTTCCCTCTACCATAACATGAGAAACGTGCCCTGCAATTCACAAATGAAAAACTTAAAATGCAAACAGGTGCTCACTGAGACAGTAAGCAAGCAGGCACCCATGCTTCAGTCAAAAGGAAGCCACATGGCAAGAACCCACGAACGGTTCTCAGCACCCACACTGGGACGGCTGGACGTGAAGAGGAGGGCGTGGGTGGCAGGCAGGAAGGGCTGTCACGAAGAAGTGAACGGCAGGAGAGAGAAAGCATCAGGCTGGTGGGAGTTCTGCCTGCTTCACCTCCCAACTATGCGTGAAATAGAACCAATAATTCTATCCACAAAGAAGTGTGTGGGCGGATTTATTCATTTTTTTTGCATTTAAATAAATAATATAAAGTCGATACCATGATAGATACACATTTCACCGAATTAACATATAAACTGGTATGTAAAGTCCACATCCAATATTGCTGTTTTTAATATATTGGAAGGAACTGCTCTAGCTACAGAAAAGATTCTTTTACATCCTGAATCAATATTTGTTTAAATACCTGAAGTCTGAGTGAGAAACAATTTTTAGTACAAATCCCCAAGCACCCAACCGCTTGCACGCTGTAGGTGGAGTGGAGTAGGACGATTCTCGTCGGGCCTGTGTCACGGGTGTGACCCAGGCAGGGGTGGTGCCAGACACACAGAGTCCAGGGCAGAGGTGTCTCCCGGGATGCAGGCAAACAAGTGTCCTCTCCATCGTATGTGCATTACCATGGTTTCCGTCACAAGAAAATCTGAGTCTAAAATTATGTAATCCTTTCTTGAAAATTGAGGCAGTGTTCAACACTAAGATTTTCTGCTACGGCAGAGGTTCATGCTGGCCCTTAGTTTTTAGGAAACACTCTAGTTGGCTTGCCCAGTGAGCCCTTGCGATGGCACGAATAGTGACCCGTGAACAGGTCTTTCCTCTCCAGAGGTTCCACCACGCTCGCTCTGCAGCCCCCTGCACGGGACGCTAAACCGGGCGGCACTTCCACGCAGACAGTGGACTGCAGCCGAGCCACGCTTTCTCCCAGAAACTCTGCTGGCGGGCGCACGCTCTCAACCACTGCCCCGTTTGTGTGGTGACACACATGTGTGTGAGCAAACACACACGTGCACGCGTGTATGTACACTCTTTAACTACGTGGGTGCTCTCTGGAGTCACAGTGACAAGCATTTGAAAGTGGTGTTTCTATAAACTTTGTCAGCCTGTAGGACTCACTGACATTAAAACATACTCTTCCACTTCTCCTAAAATTGGGTGTAACTAGAACATATTCTAAAAATAACTGCTTCCCTCTTCCCTCCCCAGAAGCCAAAATAGCACACTTATTTTTTCTCCTGCACCACCTAGTCCTCTTTAGAAGATGTTTCACAAAATGCTAGTGCCAAAAGGACCACTAAAGGACTGCCTGAGTAGTTCTTCTACAGAGCTAATGTGATAAATGAAGTCAATAAGGTTATGTCTACCATCAAATCAAATACCTGTTCTCTTCAAACTCTCAACCTTCCCTGTTAGCTTAAGTTTCTCACATTCTAGGTAAAATATACAAAAATATGGAAAATTATAATTTATTGTAAAAGCCCTCAGGCTTGGGTACTTTTTGGGGGGGAAAAAAGCAATGCAATCATGGGAAAAACTGCCCACTGCTTTTTGCTAAACAAAGACCAATCTGGAATATTTCCTCATTTTAGCTAAAACTATTTGACTAAACTATTTCAGCTAAAATAGTTTAAGGAAATCAGCAAACCCCAAGACACAAGTCCAGTAAAACTAGCAAAAAACAGGCATGTGTCATCGTTGCTTTTCGAGTACAGTCCAACCTTCTGGTGTCTCTGGGCCACAGTGGAAGAAGAGTTGTCTTGGGCAACACATTTAAATATGCCGCAACATGTAATCACAAAAATATCCTATGATGTTTTAAGTAAATGTATAAGTTTGTGTTGGGCCACATTCACAGCCGTCCTGGGCTGCATGTGGCCTGCAGGCCGCAGGGTGGACACCCCCTGGAAAAGGATCAACTTAAATGACTCAAGATTCAATTAAACAAGATAACTGATTTATCTGCTCAGCCATGAGTCCTGCAGACCTCTCCGAACTGCTTTCTACTCAGAAGGACTGGTTTATCCTGTGTTATGTCTGCCGAAATATTACATTTAACCTAGGCTTATCTAAGGGCTCGGCTTAGCTAAATCAAAGAAACAACCTAATTTTTAAGACCTCTTAAAAATTAAGAGGGTTTTATTTTGCTTTTTGTTGCAATTAAGAATAGGAGCAATAAAGGAAAAAAAGTGATGTGTATCAAATGAGAATAATTCAGCAGAAAAGCTTTGCAAGACAAAAAGGAAATGCATCGCTCTGGATGGTTGTAATCTGGTTTGAAAGTCCCCGAGATGACACCATCCCAGGATCGTTCTTTGTTCCCAACCAATTTCAGGTTGCAAAAGAAATGCTGGGTCGTTTCAACAGGACTTGGCAGCTCCCCTTAGCTTGGTTAAAACACAGATCTGAACATGCTTCTAATAGTGTCAGTCACAAATAATAAGATTCTGCATGGTTTTAGTGTCTGGGTCTAATTTCAGTTTATTTTGAGAACAAGCCAATCTGTCAGCCAGGCCAATGAGGGAGGAAAAAAGAAGTACTGCCTAATATTGCCACCTGCTGGCGCTTAGTGGAATCACATGCTCATTCTTCCCTGGAGGAAGTTCCTGATACACCAGAAACAGACAAAAGTAAACTGGCTTAAGTACACGCAGACTCTCAAGTCCACAACTTTCTGTGAATATGCTAATTCTTAAAACACTATGACTTCTAAACCACAAATAAGCTTTGCACTCATCCTCTTCTTTTTCACCATATAGTTTTTACCAACAAAGCCAAGATGAGGGGTATTTCCAAGCATTTAGCCAGTAACAGGAAGAGTTAGGGTAGTTACACAAGTTAAAATATTGCCACTTTTCTTCCTCATAACAGACTTCTAGAACATTCTTCACTGTAGCAGGGAACATATACCTGCACTAAAAAGGAAATAAGACAGAACTGGAAGCCTCTCCTGACGGTGTCTCCAGACTTCAAACGCTGCAGCGGGCAGGCTCGGAGGCCAGTCACTGCTCACTGGTTCTTACTCCTCGAAGGGCAAATGTCTCCTTCCACTACAGCAACGACTGCAGCAACTGAAACTCTGCTAATTCAACCGCTTTCATAGGGTGGGAAAGTGGGGAGGACACTGAAATCAGGCCTTAGAGGTCATTTATTTTATTCACATCTATCATCTTGGGCCAAAGGACAACCTAAACACCCTGGTGACCCAACTTAGCTGCTGAAGCTGGCATCGTTACAACGCGTTGTTGGGGAGCAGCACTGGAGCATGTCAGAGAATCCTGAAATTCCGGTCCCTCAGGAAGGCAGGTTCACGTTCCGGAGTGGTCGTGGGAAGCTCTGGCTATGCCGCCTTCTCACGGTGAACGGAGAACCAAGACGAGACACGACAGGGCGCTGCAGGGCAAACCGCCTCTGCCAAGCACACACAGTGAGTACCGGAGGCCCGCGGCCAGGCGCCACCTTCACAGAAGCCACTGCTGCGCCTGGCAACCCGAGGACAGGACAGGAAAGGAGAAGCCCCATCCTCAAAGAAGCCTCCAGTAGTTGAAGACGCTGTTATCTCCCCTTGTTCAAAGCATTCCCACCACTTGTTGGTCAATGTTTTTGACCAGTACACCTAACTTTTCCCTGGAAATAAGTACTATTTATTCTGCTTGATGTTTCTGAATCTTTAACTGACCGTCCCTTCCAGATAGATAACAACATTCTACCAGCCTACTTAATGCTACTTAGGACCTCAAAGTAAATGAGATATTGTGTATCTCTACAGTCATATAATGTGTGACTACAAACACCCCTAAACATAAAATCTAATCTTTTACTTCTAGACCCCCATGGTGTCTAGGAAAATGCTGGCTATAAAATATTAGCTCAAGCTATACTAGTGATTGAGAAGGGAAAGGGAGAGAGAAATATAGAAATGTCATCAGTGAGGCAACTTTGAGGCTTAGGTGCTGGGCCTGGGAAGTTTTTAGGGCTTAAAAGTGACAGAAAAGGCAACAAAACCACAGAACTGAAATGACTAAATCTTATCTGATACTGAGTTTCCTATTCCAGAGGATCAGAATGGCCCAAAAACTGCGAGACTTCAAGAACACCTAGAAACAGGAGAGTTCAGAAGTAGCTGACTAGCTTGAGGGAAAAAACCAGGCATGGCCGCCGGGAAATTCCCACCTGGCCCGTCTCTGAAAGGCCTGAGCAGGGACCAGCAGGAGCAGGCCAACGAGACGAGGAAGTCAGCTGTGCGCTGGGCATTTCCGAAGACCGAAGTTTGCCTTGAAACAATGACTCTCAGAGACCAAACACCGAAAGGGACTGGAGAGAAAAAGTATTTCATGAACTGTCAATGGCTTTCCAGGACATTAAATCGAGAGTATGCTGCTTTAGTTCTGTGTTATGGCTTCTGAAGTTCACCCCCAAGCAATTTGATGGCTAAGTCATGGGCTGTTTCTATGACACTGGAGTAGATTTTTTCTGAAGTCCCTGACTGGGGAAAATAAAAAACAAACAAATAAAGCAGATCTCTGCAATTAGTCTAAACATAAGACACCGTCCAAAGAGGGACACTCTGAGAGTGAAAGGGGCAGTGCTAATGGTCACTCTGGGCCGACAGGCATCAACCGGCACAGCCGCTAGCAGGGCAGGAGGTAGGGCCGCCCCATGAAACACCGTGAAAACCAAAGATGAATGAGCGTCTCCCTCAGTAAGGCCACACGTGGTGCAAAGTCCAGGCGGGCCCCTTGGTGTGCTGGGAGCTACCGAGACAATCTGGGAAAAACTAAATGTGAAGAGGAAGCTGAGGGGTGGGATGGATTAGAGAACAGGAAAAAGTCATAAAGCCAAAAATGCGTAATATGGCACACCAGGTGCTCCAGAGGTGGGTTCCAGACTGCCTGTCCGGTTCCCCTTCTATCGCTCACTCCTGCCTTTGAAATCCATCTGCTAACCATGCTGAATGTCAGCGTGCCGCCTGTTCCCTCTCTGATGTTCAGTCTTCCTCTGCCCAGCACTCTCAGCCCCCCAGGTTCTGTCCGCTTTACTGCCCCGCCCCCACGGAGCATTGCTTCTCCAGGGAACCCGTACTGACTTCTTTACCCGACTCCTACACCACCCCACGTTTCTCCTCTCAGGGTCCTTCCCATTCACATCGCACCTGTTTAATACCTGGCTTCACCCAATTGTTCAATGCTTTTTTCCTAATTAGGCGGGGTGTATAGTTAGTGCTCCACAAATACAGGGGTGGGCAAAAGGAGGCTTACAGTTGCTCACGTGGAAACTAATACAATAATTAATAAATAATAACACATGAATAAACTGTGTTTTCATGTACTCGCAACTGTAAACCTGCTTTTGCCCCACCCTGTATTTATAGATTGAATGAATTACACAGGAAAGTGAACCAATCTTGTTGCTGGTGATTCAGCTCCCAAGAAAAATTTCAGGTAATGAACTGGCTAGTTAAAAGCTGCAAAAATACAAACAACAAAAATGAGGCTCTGTACTAAGTATTTTTCTAAATCGGCCTCTCATTTCAAGTCAGGTTGCTGCTAGTAACCCTGAGCAGAAAAGGCCCAAGGCCGAGGCTGACTCGGTGGGACAGCGGCCTCTGGTGGATAAAACTGGCAGGGCACTGTAACCACCGAAAAATGACAAACCAAACTTTTGCTTTTCCCTTTTCTCCCATTAGGGCTATAAGCAAACTGTCAGATTTTTACCTGAATTAAATATTAGCAGTCTGAACACCGGTGTCTAGAAACACACATCAGAGCTTCCACAAACGCTGGAGAATGAGAGTTGACATAATACCGAGCCTCAGTACAAGTCACTTTTACCACCTGGATACCTGTTTTCCTAAATTATCTTTTCCAGCCTCCTGGTGTTTTTCTCGGGATTGAAGCCCACCAGACACTCCTGAAATAGAGGCGGCTTTTGAACAGCCTGCCACTCGAAGGGTCAACACTGTCTGCATGACAGGAGAGGGACACTGGGACCAAAGAAGGGATGAGTCAAAGTGAGGAAAGGGTGTGGGTTTGAGGAGCAAATACACGCACTACTCTTGCCTTACGAACACAGACGACGCTGGGCAGTACTATTTACTTCTCTGCTCTCACCAGCACACGGCCGGGAGCCAGGAGAGCCTGGAAGGTGCACAGTGTGAACACGTAACTGGGGGGGGGGAGGCTGTTTCTAGATGCTCTCACTTCCCTTAAAAGCTTGTCATCCCCTTTTTAATCTCTAGGTTTTCAGAACATTACTGCCCACTCATCTTAAGCAGGTCCCTGTACAATCTTTAGACGTCTTCACTTGTCACCTGCCTGCAGGGTGCTTGCTACTGCTCGGAGAGAAAAACCTTTGGAACCCAAGCCACTGCTTCAGTAGACAGCGCGCTCAGAGGGGGACAACGGGGGTGCAGCCGCGAGCAAGGGCCCACCGTCACTGTCTGCTCTCTCAAGGCACAGGGACAGCCAGGGACGCGGAGCGGCTCCACTCTCCCCGAGTGTGTTCTCAGCAGGGAGGCTGAGAGGGAAGGAGGCTGAATGTGTCGATCAGACACATTCACATTTAAATGTACAAACAAACTCATGTTCCCAAGCAAAACAAATGCTTCTTGGATATTGGCCCGTACATTTTTAAAGCAGTGAGAACCACATTGCCAAGCATGGTAAAATAGCTGTTCCCAGACCAGATTTGTAGAAAGGGGGTAATCCTGAGCACTTTACTGAAAGCTCTGATTCCCCAAACACCTGGAATCCAGACACATGTCCATACCAGATGGCAGCCACGCTCGTTTCAATTAAGTGGGATTGTACCAGCTGGGATCAAGATAAGTCTGCCGAAGGAGAGGCAGTAATGCATGCATTTATTTAACCAGCTTATTGCTGCATGCACCGTCCCTCACTCTCATCATCTTTTTAATTTTGGCCAGTGCTCCAGGCCAGGAACTCCATCTCGCTGCCAACTTCCACCGAGAATGGAAACCCTATTAGGAAAGGGAGACCTCACGCGAACCACCCAGCATGTGGGCAGGTCAGACACGCGCCTCATCAGGCAGGGAGCCTTTAAGAAACAAGGGTTTGGTGTGACAGGCCTTCCTGCCCCTGCTGCCCTGCGCTCTTCGGCTACACCTACCATTTCCTTGAACGCACTCTCAAGAGCTCCAATGACCAGACACTCGTGTGCGATCTTCTTCTCCGTGAAGAAGCGTGTGGGTGGGGTGCTGGGGGAGCCGGGGGCCCCGACCCCGCCACGGAGCGAGGCGGCCCGGGTCAGAGTGCGGCCGCCGGCGGGCGTGTTCTCGGGCTCGTCGCCCAGGCAGGTGGGCGGGAGGACGGCGGAGTTCTTCAGGATGTCCACGATGGCCTGCAGCTGCTCCGTGACGTGGTGCTGCAGCAGGCGGGACGCCACCACTGCGGCCCCGGACCCTGCGTGGCCATCGAACAGCGACCAGTAGTGGCAGGAAACGCCTTCTGATTCCTGCGGGGAGACAGGAACAGGGAGGAGTGAGAGCCACAGTGGTCACTGCCCAGGTGACACTGACATGGCCAGGCCTCCAGGGGGCGCAGCACGTCCGCCTGGCTGCCTGGCTTTGCACTCAGTAGGGTAAAAACATGGCAAAGCCACTCAGCAAGGGGGCCCAGTATTTGTCACCAATGCTACTACCACCCAAGGTGTGAAGCAGTCCCCGTCTCTCACCTGGTGGAGAGGGAGGTACTGCTCCAGGGAGGAGGCCCAGATTACCTGGTGCGCAGGTACTCCCTGGGGGCCAGAGCCACGTTCATTTGCTGTGTAGGAGTTTGAGGTGGTACTCCATACGACCAGATGTGTGTTTAGAAGTCTGGCTGTAACGTCTAATCCTCGTCTGCGGTCTTTGCAGAAAGGTCTGCAGTGCTTTCCGGGGAAACAGGCGGACTTACTTCCCCCTTTAGGGCCCCTACATTCTCAGGTAACTGCCTCATCCTCTCTCATCCACATCCTGAATTTCTGGAACTCGTTCTTTCCTTAGGCACCCAGTATAGTCCTTGCTTCACAACACGCAGCCAACTCACCTCTCCTCCCCCTGTCTGCCACCTCCCACGGTCTCCCAGCTGTCACGCGGCATCTGCCTCCTCTTCCGACCCTGAAGCTGCTCACCCGCCACGTGCGGCCCACCTCCCCTCACTTTCCACGGGTTAGAGCCTATCGCTTCATTTCTAGGTAATTTCAAGATGAACAGTTTTAAAAACCGTCCTTGATTCACACAAGCCTAAGATCTTAGCTGTGGGGGAGAAAAGAGCTTGATTATGAAATATGTGCAGGAGTAAGATATTAAATACTGAGACTAAATAGCTAAGGTGCGTGGAACATCTACTTCCGGCCGCTAGGCTTACCTGTCCTGCAGCAAGAAACACTGGGTTCTTTTTGTAACTGAAGCCATTAAAGATTTTTGGTTCATCTCAGTTTTTTAAAAATTGAAATACATATGACGTATAGCATTGTGTATATTTAAGCTGTACGGTATGTTGACTCGACACATTTATATATTGTATATGACTGCCAGTGTAACAATAGCTAGACCTCCATCATGTCATCGAATTACTTCTTTTTTTGTAGTTAGAATAATTAAGGTAGAATAATTATTCTTGTGTAGAATAATTAAGGTATAATCTCTCAGCAAGTGTGGTTATTATAATACAGTATTTACTATGCCATGCATTGCATCTCGTTGCAAGTTTGCTCCTTAAACAGCATCTCCCGCACCTCCCCCCTGGTGACAGCCGCCATTTTTGGTCCATCTTAGATCAATGCTGGAAGATGCTATACAGGTTTGGTGACATATGCCATTACTCTAACTGTGCCCTTCGAAATTTTTCCACTCAATTCTTTTTTTAATTATAATTTTTTATTTTTGCTTACTGATTTTAGAGAGAGACACAGGAGAAGAGAGGAAGAGAGAGGCAGACAGACGGGCATCAGTTTGTTATTCTACTTATTTATGCATTCACTGGCTACTCCTTGTATTATGTGCTCTGACCCGGGACCAAACCCACAGCCTTGGTGTGTCAGGACAACACTCTAACCAACTGAGCTACCGGCCAGGGCTTTTTTACTGGATTCTCTGCTAGTTGCTAAGAGTTAACATAGTAGAAATTTGTTTGTTTGTTTGTTAGTCAACAAATATTTACTAAGCCCTCTCCTCAGGACAGATGCAAAAAGCAAGCAGTGGGAACAAACAACTAGATCAAAGACACCAGACGGGGTCTGATATCAGCACCGGAGTGGGAGAAAGGGACAGTGATCAAATGACCACAAACAAACATGAGATCGTAATTCTGGTGCAGGCTACAAGAGGAAGTTCTTGGTGCTGTGCATCCAGCCTGCAGAAGGTGTACAGTGGGGGAGGCTTCCTGAAGACATGCGGACCAGGCCAGGGCTGCTGGGAAGGACACGAGGGAAGGGAAGGAGGGGAGGGGGAGAATGCAGGGCAGCAGCAAGAGCAGGTGCAAAGTCTCTGTGGTAGGAAGACTCCTGATGAGTAAGTGGAGACTGAACCACACCCATGTGGCTGAACAGGGGAGGCAGAAATGGAGGGGGTGAGGCCACACTTGAGAGGAAGGCAGCAGCTAGACCAGTTAGCCCTGCCGGGGCACGTGAAGAATTTCTGCTGTAGCATACGAGCAACACAAAGCCACTGGTTGAGATGGGAATGAGAAAGCTGATTCATGTCTTTAAAAGAGCGCTCAGACTACACTGCGAGGATTGGGAGAGAAGGAAGAGTGCAAGTGCAGATGCCGTCCTAACAAGACATCCAACCCAAACCAGGCAGTAAGAAGAAACGCTTATGAACAACTAAATGTACCATGAAACAGAGGAATAACCCCTCCCACTCAGAGGGAAATTAGGTGGAAAGGAGAAGGATGTGAGGATTAGAAGCAGTGGCTCTAATGGCATCTCCAACACCAATCCACTGAGCGGGAGGCAGTGCAGGCATCAGACCTGGGCGGGTCACGCTGGAGCCAAAGTCCCTGTTGCGTACCATCTCTGTGCCCCGCTTTCCTGTAAAACTGGAGTTGTGGCTATCTTCTGCGGGAGGGGCTCCGGGGAGGGACCAGCTAAGTAATGCAGCACGCACCCGCCTGAAGCTGCCACCACTGCCGCTGCAGCACGCAGTTCTTCAGCAAAACAAGGGGCTATCCTAGAAGACTCGGATGCTTCTGCCAACTCTGAAAGTTCTGCATTTAAGAGTGTAGATCGGTGTGGGCTGGGGATGTGGAGGAAGAAGTTGGGCCTTGAGGACTGAACAAGTGGAATTTGGATGGGCTGAGAGGTGATGTGTGGCCCAGGAGGGGAAAGTACTGGGAGGCTTAAATGGTGTGGCGGACTCTGGCAGACGCTTACCTGGATCTAGTCCCCTGCCTGCCTCACTAATGATTCTGTCTGGGGCAGCAATGTATCTACTGAAAACACCTCCCCAGACTCCCTTGCAGCTATGTGTGGTGACGACAGGAACCTATACTGTCCAGTGAGCTGCAAGCAGACGTCTCCTGGGTACAACTTCCAGAAAAGGTATAGTTTCCCTGATAAAAAGGACAACTTAACTGGCCCCGTGTTGTGCCTTTCATCCTTCCCCCTTCTTCCTGCCTGGGTCCCAGAAGCAACACCTGCGGGTGAAACAACCCTCTTGAAAAAAGGCTAAAAGCTGGGACCCAGTGCGGTGAGGCAGGAAGTGAGAAGGAGCCTGGCCCTTGATGTCCAGCTCTGCGCGCCATGCAGGCCCTGGACAGGGGGCCCATGGGCATCCTATTGTGTGAGCTTCGTGACATTTTGATAAGCTGCTATTGTCAGATTCTGTAAGAAGAAGTGGGGACATGGAGAAGAAAGTATCCGAAGGTTTATATAGTATCCGGGGATTTGCGCATGCATAGCAGCAAGGAAGCGTGCAAGATAAGTAAGGCAGGAGCGCAGAAAAGAATGGGAGGTGGGCACGCATAGGCAGAACAAAACTGGACCCCCAGGAAAAGGTTTTTACTTAAGGCAACTTTAGACAGAATTCAGAAAGTCCATGAATCGACCTTTATTTTCACAAACTTCTGAAACTTAGCATTTCCTCCTATTATGATGGTGAGGCAACAAAGCACAATGGTACCAGCAACACCTGTGCCTTGGTCGCCAACAGAAATGAGGTGTCGTCATTCCACGCATCCTGGTATATATCGCCTGTGCTCAGTGCTACCTGCAATGACAGCAGCAGTTACTAAACCCCGGCTCCTGTCATCTGCTGCACAAATAAAGTGCACAAATAAAGTTGACATGTGACATCTTCATAACTGGGGGAAAAGTGGCAAAACAAAGGACATTCTTACGCATTGCATCTAATTTCTCCAAAGAGTCCAGGCTGCCTGAGTAGCATGCACACATACAGTCCTTCTGTGTCCAACTGAAAGGAAATCCCAGCAAACGCCCGAGGAAGCTGGGCAGGGGCAGGCGACGGACGAAAGAGGGGCAGCTGTCTCAGGGGCCAGCCACAGGGTCTGTTACATCAAACATTGTTGTGCTTCTAGAGCCATGACTTAAAACAAAGATCAAACCCCATGGAAAAAAATGAACTACACTGCGTGGAATGCTACTGCATTAAAAAAAAAAAGCAACTCTGGCCCTGGCTGGTGTGGCTCAGTGGCTAACTGGCAGCCTGTGGAGCAAAGGGTCACTGGTTCAATACCCAGTCAGGGACCATGCCTAGTCTGCAGGCCAGGTCCCCAGTAGGGGGTGCTCTCGAGGCAACCACACAGTGATGTTTCCCTCTCTTTCCCCTCTAAAATAAATAAATAAATAATTTAAAAATACAAAGCAACTCTGAAATTCTTCTGACAAGTATTCCAACCATTTCCTTCAACAAGGCGGGGCATTTTGCAGCGGTGACCACGACCACCACCAGGTGACAACCTATCTGGGGAATTTCCCAACAGCCAAGAGGAAACCGGGTTGGGGGCCTTCTGAGAAGCCCTCCGCACAGCAGTGCTATCGATTCAGGTACAGTTAATGTTTAGAATGCAATGACTAATTCTCACAGCTGCAACTTGTAAGACAATTTTTTCACAGAGAAGTTTGTTTCTGACGGAATAATCTAGCACTGGTGCATGTGGCGGCCAGGCCCAGACCCACTAAGTGTCTCTGAAGGCGGGGTCCCACCTTTGATCCTTTTGAAGTGCCCTCCCCAGGGGGTTGTAATGAGCGGCCGAAGTTGAGAAGCCAAAGTTGTCTCATGGAAAGGGGTGGTTAAGCAGTCAGGAGACCCACGCTCTGCCCCAAATCTGCCACTGGTTCACTGTGTGACCTTGGATAAGTCACTCACATCTCCCTGAATGGACCAGGCCAGTGGTGTCCAAACTGTGCTCCTGGTTCTGATGCTGGACCTTAGCAAAGGGGACGTTAAGTGGGCGTTTAAGTGATGAGTTCCTCTGACAATTATTTTAACCAGAGCAGCATAATTTCACCAG